CCTTGCTGTAGTGCCATACCTTTCTTAGGCTAAGAATCATTGTTGTCATAAAGCGATCATCGCTTTATGACAACAATGATTCTTGGCAATACTGTACGGGAGGCGAAAACCTATGCCCGGCGGGCATCATTACTGTATTTGTCCAGCCACTATTTACGTCATTCTCTAACACGTTTGTTATACTGTACCGTACCTGTACGGAGTATTCCCTTGGACACGCATTTCGCCTCCAAGTTAATTACCTACAGAAGCCCAGTTCTCCTGCTGACATGAGTGATCGCCCCATAAGTTTTTCTCGCCAAGCCCTCGTGCAGGATTTTTCTTCAATGGCGATCAACGTACAGTAAGTACCCTTACGGGTACAGTGTGTATCGTTTCCACACAGTCTCAGATATAGTCGAATTTCTCCCTCATCGTTAGACTGCACCTTCGTGAGCTAACAACGCTCTTTTCGCAGACTTGCCATTGGTATGGATTAATGTATCCAAGGGTACAGTATCTCTGGATTGCGAATTGTTACCTGCTCGCATTGATGTGCAGAAAAATGCCTTCTTCGATTTTGCATGCCAGCGGTTGCAACCCACCCCAGGCAGTAGCAAAACAGGTATTTATCGTCTTGCGTGCAGCCGTGTTTCAATTGAAAATTCCCTGTCACCAGTGGTCCTCGACGTCAGCTGAGAGCAAGCTTCAAATGCAATGCTTCAGATGTAACTCACTAGAAACGCAGGCGTTCATTTCATGCAATAACAATAATAATCTTCTTTCCAACCGTTTTCGTCTCTTTTACTACCTGTTCCGATCCCCTATAAAAGCCACTTTCCCTTGCAGTTGACCCATCGCTTTCTTCGATCATCATTACCTTTAGCTTCTTCTCTCGGACTTGCGATTGAAACCTTTTCGACAAATTACGTCTTTATCCCATCGAAGAATCATGCACCATCAGGTCGACAGCCCATGTGCTCGACTCACAATCATGACGTTTCTTTTTTTGGCACTTTTCTTTTGCTTTCAACCTGTATCCGCAGTCAGCCTCCCTCGGTCTTCAGTCATCAGAGAATCTGAATCGGAGAGTATCTATTCTTACGATATGTCAGCTCCTGACGGGCCACCTAATTGGGGTAGCATTGAACCTTCGTTTGTGTCTTGCGCAGCTGGTTTTGAGCAGAGTGGCATCGACTACCCATGCGAATCAAGTGGCTTGATCGATTTTGAAAAGACAGGAAGCCCAATGGTGTCTCCTTCCTCTGCTGCAGCCTTCAATTTCGCAAACACAACTTCGAATTGGGCTCTGAATTGTGACAACCCGGGGTCTTGTGGATCTGTAACATTCAAAGACAAGACCTACTCTCTTATAAACCTACATTTCCACTCGCCCAGTGAGCACGCTGTTAATGGAGTTCAATACCCTCTTGAGGCTCATATGGTCCACCAGGATGAGGACGGATCTCTACTTGTCATAGGAACTTTCTTTTCAGATGGGTCCCAGAATGACTGTCTTACCCACATGGAGTTAGACGCCGGCCAAGCGAATCGGGAGTTGCAGTCGATTCTGGTCAACATCATCAGCGGAGAGAAGTCGTTTGTCGTAGATGTCGCCTCATTTGTTGGCGGGTTTGAATATTTACACTACGATGGATCTTTGACTACTCCCCCATGCTCCGAGGGTGTAATGTGGTTTAATGCACGGCAACGACAGAACGTCGCGACTGGTCAGATCGCATTATACGAGAGTACAACCGGCAGTGATGAGTTTGCTAATGCAAGACCGATGCAGCCTTTGAACGGGCGATCCCTGACTGCTTATTCTGGTTTCGAGTGAACCAGGATCGGCTAATGCTGATTGTAAAAATACGTCGCTCAGCATTCTCCACGCTGACAATAAGAATAATCATTCTTCCATTTTACGCAGAAGTCAATTTTGATACCACGGGTTTTGTCGACCTGTGGCGTTCCTTCCATATGTAGAGTCGATTTCATAAACGTTTGAGTAGGACATCGCTTCAAGTGTTCATATTCTTCCTTCCAATTATGCATGGCAACCGCTTCACGAAGGAAAACACCACATGCTGCTTGACCATTAATCCTGAGAGTGGTAGTGCTTTCCACGGATTTCATATAACTTCCTCCGTTCCTAACTGAAAGACAGCAACTTTTGTCACGGCAAATCTTCCCGAATTTCCTATTCTTCTGCAGACAGAAAAAACCTATCGTGCTTATCAGTCTAGATGAGAAATTTACGCTGACAGGGTCCTCTAGGATTTTCAAACTGGGACGGCATACTTCTCGAAAGGTACAGCGCTGTATCTTCGCGTTTTGTATAATCGGATACGCATTCTGGGTACAGGGGGGGGTCGCGATATAGTGCCATCTTTGTTAGTGCCAGCTCCGATATAGCCACCCTTCTAGGGGTGGCACGAATTTTGAGCCAAAAACGAAGGGTCTCCAGAGAGGCAAGGCAGTTGGATGGACGTACTGCCCGAGAGCCGCTGCCGCCGCGGAAAAATATTATGCAGTTGCTTACTAGAATAGAGACTATGGCGGGAAAAGGCAGGGTCGATGATGCAATTGGACATCTGCAAAAGTGTAGGCTGGCATTTATGGCTGCGAAAAAGGAGGGAGTCAATAAAGGCTTTACGCACCAAGATTTCTGGAATGTATGTGACAAATACTCTGTAAAGAAAATTTGCAGTAAGGTCAATTTGGCACACGTTCCATTTTAGTTTACGCATGGACTGCGCGGATCGCCATATGAGTATTACGAAGGAGTATTACGACGACAGCCTACAGTAGGACGCTAGTCCCATTTTCCACTGTTGAGGCAACATGCCACACCGCGGAAGACAACGCGACCACTCTGTGTCCATCGCAGCCGTGCGATTCCGCAAATGGCGTGTTGCCCTTCGCACAATCGCACATCGCCGCCTCTCCGCTCCGGGATCTCCTATAGGGAGCACAAGCGCTCTCTCCTTTTGTGTCAAGGGCTACACAGCGCAGCGGCAAGAATACACACGATACATTAGACGTTCTAATCGTATATCTCTCTCCGAGTTCTCCTTTAACTTTAATGCATTGACTAACGCTTGTTGTTTATCGTTGTTTCGGTTTACTAAGAGCGATCTTGCTAGGATGGTCACAGCGGTGGGTTGGGTTGGGTATGTTACAAATCGGAACAGGTATAGGGGCAGTCCGTTGTTAGTCGCATGCGTCATACTGAGGCGCTTAAGCAGGCCCAGCAGGTGGTGGGATATGGAGTTTCTGTTTGGACGGCATGGGGCGCAGCTCTCTGAAATTTTCTGGGAGGGTATAGGGCAGATGCTCCAAGATCGCGTCCAATTGATAACAGGACCCATGCATGCCTCTTTCATTTGCGAACGGGCATCAAGTTACGTCCATGCTGTGAAGGAAAAGTGTGACGTGCTTTCTAACGGCGTTGGTTTTATTGACGGCACTGTAATCGCGATTGCTCGGCCATGCCGTAGCGCCGTTGAAAACGTTGCCTACAATGGACACAAGCGCAAGAACGCTCTCAAGTATCAAGCCGTTATCGCGCCTGATGGATTATTGCTTCACGCGGCGGGTCTCATGGAGGGACAGCGCCATGATTGGACACTTTACTGTAGAAGTGGTCTCGATGAGGAGCTGGAGGAGGTCATGGTGGTGGATGGTTTGCAGTATTGTCTGTACGGGGACTCAGGATATAACGAACGCAACTTCTTGGAGGTCCCCTTCCAGGGGTCACAATTGACCGGATACCAGAATGCCTTCAACAAGGCTATTTCCAAAGGAAGGCTTACTGTGGAATGGGTTTTCAAAGAAGTCAAGCTTTACTGGTCGACGGTAGACTATCGTCGAAAGATGCGAACGGGGGAATCTCCGGTCGGGGCACTTTATCTCGCTGCGATTCTGCTTACAAACTTTCGCAATTGCGTATATCCCAACACCATCTCGCAGTACATGCTCTACAAGCCTCCAACTCTCGAAGACCACCTAGCTCACAAAAACAAGTCAATGCTCGTGCAGGAGAGCGAGGAGTGAGTACAAAGTCCGCGTGCCGAGCGGAGCGAGTTGCCGAGCGTAGCGAGAGCGGACTTCGTCTGTATCCCCGCAGGGAGCCCTGCGCGAGCAGACGCTAGGCCAGTTTCGTTGTATCTTCTCTAGTCGGAACGCTCCGTCGAGCCAGAAAATGACTGTTCAGACCCGTTTGTCGATGCGTAGCTACTTCCCTGCGCATCCATTATAGAACCCATCATGATATTCATTTTGTTCAGATCAAGCTCGTTTTGCGCTTGGCGCTCCATATGTCTTTCCTCACGATCCTTCTGCCGTTCCTCTGTCTCTCGATCCAGGCGATGGTGTTCGAACTGAAGGCGCTCGTGTTAAAGCTCAATACGCGCCATATCGGCATCGCGCAGCGCGTTTCCGAAACCCTCAAGCTCCCCTTCTATCTCGTCGTAAGCACATGCTTGGCAACGCGGTTTCTTTCGGGCACTTCCATTGCCATCGACCTCCACGATGTCATCCGTTTCATCCCCTTCCAGGCTGCTTACTCCACCATTGCCATTGCGGGTCAGAGCCCGCGCGACGAGTTCCTTCCCAATACGCTCTTTGCGAGCTTCTTTCGCCTCGGCGGCAACGACTTCTGCTGTCTTAGCCTTCTCGAAGTCATTCCTTGCTTCTGCCATCATATAGAACAGCTCGCCGAGCTCACCTATCTTTCCACCCACACCCGAAAGCTGGCTATCCTTTGCATCACGACGGCCGAAGGCATCCTGGATCTTTTTGTAGCCATCCTGGATGCTCTTCGCCGTCACCTTGACCAATAGATCCTTGTTCGAGTTTGCCTTAGTCGCGGCGGTGGCGAACATCTTCTGAATTTCGCCATAGGCAGCGACGTGGACCTTCGATGCGGCAACCTCCCGCGCGATGATCAGGTCATCGCCAGCCGTAAATTTAGGGCGGCGACCGTCCTTACGCGCGAGAGACGGTAGGCGGATAGGGAGAGCGGGCGCGGCAAGCGCCTCCGTCGGTGATGATTCCGGAACGAACGCCGGGCCTTTGATGAGAGCTTTGGCGTCGGGGGTTAACGGGGGACTAGCATCGGGGGAAGGGTGGGGAGGACTAGGGACACCTCGGCCATGCTGAAGGAGAGGGAGAGTGGAGGGTAGAGCTTGGATGGGGGAGCGGCGAGCCGTGACACCTTTCTGCAGTACCGTTCTCCCGCCTTTTTGTGTACACGTTTTATGAATCAGATTGCAGAATGGACTTCACTGTGAAGTCACATTTCAGTAAACTTTGTCATGGCCTCGGCCAGGATTTCATTTAGTGTAAGCAGTTTTCGTCACAACTTTAATTTTTATTGCAGAAAACCGTGGTACGTAAAGTCTCTAATGCGACGGCTCGGCAGCTACTAATAACAGAAATGCTTGATTAGACTTGAGTCTGTAGTGAAGATGCAAAGTATGAGTGATGGCGTCCTGCGAGCGGTCTTTCTGAGCAGTGATGCGCAAAGGGAGTGGCTGCAAAAAAGCCGTAAATCTCATTATCTTACAGTGCCAGGTTCGATATAGTGCCGTTTTCGGCCCACTGAGTCAGTGGCACTGACACAAGGTAGCACTATATCGCGACCCCCCTGTACTTATTTACATTACATCTTCTATTCCAATATTTATCTCACCTGCCAGATCACGTACAAACATTCAATAGCATTGGAACTCAGAAATGTTGTAGCGCAACTGTGCGCAATTTACCGTCCGGATGTCCAGCAATGCAGCCGCCGCCGGCCGTTGCTATAAGTAGGATAGTCTAGACAGCAGCACAATAAACTGTCCTGGTATCGACCAGGCAACCATCGCCGCAAACGGTTTAGCACAGTGATCACTGCATTCCGGTTTACTTTCTGTATTCTCGTTTGTTTCGATCAACCCCCGATCGCCCCGGCGATAACGGTTCTCTGAACGATGTCGCAGATGTCCGACACATCCGGCGTAACGACGCATCGTGCGTCATTTGTGGCAACATCGGTTAATCACCCGCGATTAGTCCGTACCCATTCGGATTCAATTCGCGTTTTCCTTCGCCTGTACGACCAGTACACACGCGAAGTTACTGCTAGAGCATCACAGCTTACCTCAACGGATGCCGCGACAACCGAAGCCGTCCGACCGGTTAGCATCAAGTTTTGCGTAGACCCAGAGTACCTGGAGTCAGCGATCGCATTAGGCCTTATCACAGGTGCCACGTCATACGAAGATCTTACCGAAACGGATCTTTCCAACTTCCTGAAGACTAAAGCCGAAGATTCCAAAGATATCGTCAGTATCGAGACTCTTGACGAAATTGTCGACCGAGAACTGCGGATGAACATGCACGACAAAAACGCAAAGTCACGCATGGAGTCACTTTTTGTGTCATACCATTCAATTATTCGCCGAAACGGTTTGTCTTGGATCCTCAAAGAGAACCAAAAGTTGGCGGTCCGTCACGTTCTTTCCTTAATTCGGCCGAAACCGCTACAAGATCGGCTAGAATCAGATTTACAACTTTCACAAACCGACTGCCGAAAGGATTTCCAGAAGTTTATGAAGCATGCCGTACGGGTGTCTGAGGCTTTCCAGCTCTTGGACAACGGGCCCAAGCAAGGGAAGGCCAAGCGCAATCAAAACCGAGACGGACACTCCCGTGGAGGTGGCAACGACAAACCACCTCCCGGAGCAGGATCGAAATCCGGAGGAAGTACCGAACGGAATGGCGACAAGTCAAAGAAAACGAATCGAGTCCCGCCCGACTGCCCGTACGGTCCGTGCATGTCCAAGGGCAACA